CCTGACGGCATAACTCTCATGTATGGTCTGACGAAAATCTTCATGAAAGTAATTTTCAGCATAGGTTTTCGGTGAACGTATGGGCGGTATCATCGATAGTTATTTAATTGGCCCTTTGATTTTGAAGAATCGACTCACAGGAGACCACTACTTATATTTTATACAAAATGAATTACAAGTACTATAGAGCCTTCTTAAAACCGAGATTAGTCAACCCAACAATGCATTATCGGCAACAAAAATTCTCTAGATCTTGGCTTCACCAATATTAATGACTCGTTTACAATGACCAATGACAAACCATCACGTTGGCGCTCGAGATAATACGATCGATAATAATTGGTTAAATAGTATCTCGCGAAAAAATACACCAATCAAAGCTGGTGAAACAGAACATTGTGTTTTAATGTAACCTTGTAATGTAACTATTTTAATAGTATTTAATTTTATCGAAATTTAATGAACAACATGAAAGAAATAAAATTACTGTTCCAAACAAATTACTAGTCACGTGGCTTGTAAATATTTATTAAGGCTCCGTACAAGAGGATGTTCCTATAAACATGAGAGCGCGAATGTAGCACGATGGAACTTTTGCTCATTTCGCTCGTTCAGTCAAGCTACATTTGAACGAGAGGCTTTCAGGGCGTTGGATTAGCCGCGGTGATCCTATTAGCCTAGATAAATGATACTATAGATAGGAAACTTGAACAGATTTCATGGTCATTAACAGCGCTAACTGTTGACACTTTCTCCAACTTCTATTGCTTTCCTTTTCTAGGAATTATCGGTAATACAGTGAGTTAAATTACCTTTAGCCAGTAAAAGATGCAAGCGCCATCTAGTTGTANATAATCAACTTGTATCCTACATATTTTTACCGATGAAGCCACATTTACCCCTGACGGCATAACTCTCATGTATGGTCTGACGAAAATCTTCATGAAAGTAATTTTCAGCATAGGTTTTCGGTGAACGTATGGGCGGTATCATCGATAGTTATTTAATTGGCCCTTTGATTTTGGAGAATCGACTCACAGGAGACCACTACTTATATTTTATACAAAATGAATTACAAGTACTATAGAGCCTTCTTAGAACCGAGATTAGTCAACCCAACAATGCATTATCGGCAACGAAAATTCTCTAGATCTTGGCTTCACCAATATTAATGACTCGTTTACAATGACCAATGACAAACCATCACGTTGACGCTCGAGATAATACGATCGATAATAATTGGTTGAATAGTATCTCGCGAAAAATTACACCAATTAAAGCTGGTGAAACAGAACATTGTGTTTTAATGTAACTTTGTAATGTAACTATTTTAATAGTATTTAATTTTATCGAAATTTAATGGCCAACATGAAAGAAATAAAATTACTGTTCCAAACAAATTACTAGTCACATGGCTTGTAAATATTTATTAAGGCTCTGTACAAGAGAATGTTCTTATAAACATGAGAGCGCGATGGAACTTTTGCTCATTTCGCTCGTCCAGTCAAGCTACATTTGAACGAGAGGCTTTCAGGGCGTTGGATTACCCGCGGTGATCCTATTAGTTGGCCTCCAAGATCTTCAGACCTCACAGCACTGGATTACTGTTTATAGGGCTGGTTCAAAAATGAATTGTACAAAGTTAGAGTGAGGCACTAATTCGGTCTATCATCAATATTGTAGCACTTATTAAAGAAAGACATGCAGCAAGCAGGAGAGCTACAAACGCCCTTCATAGACGAAGAAGAAAGTGTTTAGAGGTGATGTTGATGAACATTTAATCAAAGAAAGCTATGATTAATAGAATATCAATATATTAATTTTGTATTGAAATGAGAATCGCAACATAACATTTTAGTTTTTTCTTATTATTTTGACGTCCCATTTCTGGAGTTTGGTGCGATTCTTCTGGGTCACTCTGTATATACTTTAAGTAATTTCTATAGTATGTACTAAGTTAGCCAGTAATAACTCAGTTCCTTTTTATCTAGCATCACTGCAATGGAAACGAGCAATGATCCGCACAATTGTTGTGGTGCATCCGTGACATTAAAATGAGAATGACCTTGACAGATGGAAGTTGTCATTGAGAAACAGTCGAATTCAAGAATATACGTCCTTTCTTCTCAATCTTAAATGACGGCCGGCTTAACTATCTAAATCTATTTTTATTAGTTAGCAATTTATAATCCTGTAATTTCCAGTTTCATTAAATATTAATAATAAATCAATTAACCACACTTACTGATACAGTCCTCTGACTTAATACTGAGACAGAATTATGTACAATAAACAACTAAAATGATCTTCTAGTAAATCAGCCTACGCACATTAGTTTTACCTTAAAATCTAACATATTTGAATTATGTGCGCAGAAAAGATATACAGGGTGTCCCATTTTAAAGTCCCACCCCATTATTATCAATATGTGATATGTCCCCATTACTCGCTGCCTGAGTCTTCAATGCTCGACAGCAGGGCAACGGAACTTATCAAATTATCAAATTTTTCAATTGTTCGGTACGATCCAATAATCAGCATTACCGCGAGAGCGAAGAGATCGAGCGAGAACGTGCCATCGCGCAACTCCCGGGCCCCTACCGTATGTTCGAAGATGCTTGAAGATTACATGAGCAGGGAGCTGCGGCAGGAGAGGCTCGCTAGCTCATCTGCCCCTACCGATCGCGCTGCTGCCGGAAAAGAGAAAAACAGAAAATAACACAAACTTGACAAATCAAATCAACACACATGAGACCGCTAGAGTTATCTGAGGAAGAGCAACGGGGGCGTGCGTTCCCCTCGATTTTTTGGCAGCAATTTTATCCTTGTCTTGAACTGTTCCTTTCACACCTTTGATTTTATCAGGTGAAAATTGTTTTCAGCTATTCAAAATAATAGAGAAACACACGCGCCCCCTCTTCACTTTGTCCAGACGATCCTTATGTGTGTTAATCCGGAGAGTTGAAATNACTTACTGATACAGTCCTCTGACTTAATACTGAGACAGAATTATGTACAATAAACAACTAAAATGTTCTTCTAGTAAATCAGCCTACGCACATTAGTTTTACCTTAAAATCTAACATATTTGAATTATGTGCGCAGAAAAGATATATAAGGGGTAACAGAACAAATTGTTTTAAGCAAAATGTTTTATATGGACGTCCGTCATAGTTCGCTTCGTTTTCGATTTTCTAAAATATGTCTGTCTAGTTAAATAAATCAACTCTAAATCTACTCGTTCCACGAAATCAGTTTATGGGAATTTTTTGAATGAAATACAATTTTACTTCCAACGTAATGTATCAAAAGTATAAAAAATCATTGGTGTAAAAATTTTGATATTTTTTAGAAGCTATTTCCTTAGGAAATCGTATTACGTTTTTCCTATGGTTTAGAACATAATATAACTTCGATTTCGTAGATCGTTTTATTAACTGCTATATAGAAAACAAAATGCTTAGAAAGGAAGACTGGAAGTCAACTACTGTATATTAAGATATACCTAATTCACATACCAGGCAATTGCATTAAACAAATATAGCATTAAATATAGCATATAAAAACAACCTATAAATACTGTTCACCTGATGAAATATCATTCGAAGAACAAACAAGAAGACAAGATAATGGAGGTCTAAAACAACTGTAAAATCTAAAAAACATTGCAATAACAAGTGTTTATACTGCATTGCAACGTTTGGTGTTACTAGAAGCTCACACTTCAAAAACTTCACGTCTAATCATTCATCCTAAAAATAGTAATGTAAATATAGAATAAGCAATAGAATGTAAACATTTTTTTGTTTTTTTAATACTTCATGTATTAACAATTAAAGAATTCCAGGTTCCATATTCCATAAAAAAATTCATATATAAGAAGTTCTGTTCTATATTTTGACTTCCTATACAAACTGGAAAAACTATGTTATACGATGAATGTTACAAATTTATATCGATGGTACAGAACCCAATGAACTTAAAAAATTCCACAGTACGTACAAACACCAAAAACATCGTATTATAATACAACCTCCTAACTAACACAAACATATATATATCCCCAGAACAATAAGTGAATCCTGTACTTGCTTTATTGCAATTAGATCCTTACTAATCCATTTTAGTAACAACAAAATAGTGTAGCTGGTACATGGAGTAGTATTATGTGGATGTTCTGATATTACCTTATATAAGATTTTTTATTGCAGAAATTAAAAACCTTTTCAGGACCTCACCGTCTTTTACATCCTCAACGAAGCGTTTTGCAAAAAAAAAATTTACATGACTACTCTTCATTATTTTTGTTAGTTCTGTATACCCTCGAAGCCTCTTGATTAATTTTTATTACCTACGCCTACTTTCCAGAAATTCAAGTTTTTATAAAAATTATTATCAATATGTGATATGTCGCAATACAATTTAGCAAATATACCCTCACATGTAAATCTAAATTTTCTGAAAATTGATCCTGTTTCCAAAATTAAAAAAGGGTACTTTTTTCCCCATAATAAGCGATGACCTAATTTAAAAAATGAGTAAAAATAAAAAAGTTGAGAATAAAGTCACTTTCTAAAACTATCCTTTAAGCTAAATGTAGAATTTGAATAATACTGTCTACATGACCTACGCCTAAATTTAAAATATGAATAAGATAATTTCAATGACTTTTAAGATACTGCAAATATGTTATCGTCAATCCTCTTTTAGATGGGATTATTATCTATTCCTGTGTTTATAAAAAAAAATATCCTTATTTTTTGATATACTTAAAAATATTGAGAGAACCACCCTGTAGAACGTTTAAAAATATTTTGAAGGAATTGGCTTTTTACACATTTGAATAAAATAAAATATGGCGGTTTTAACAACTCAATTTTTAATATCCAATTAATTTCAAGATGTGACTACGTTGAGTAAGTACCATACTATCTAATCTCTCAAAATCAATCTAATTTGAGATAGTTCTAAACTTATGTCATAATACGATCTTCACATACCACTTCCTTCGTCTGCTAATAAATATCCCCATCCCCCACACTGTACTTTACTTCGATCTGGATTGATGAGAAGGGTGTTGGAACCAGTTCCAGCTATACATGTGATCCCACCGTTGTTAGAAGTGGCTGCAATAGATCCTTCTGTATCACTGCTTACGACATATTTCTGAGATAAATTGGGGTATCTCTCTTTTAAACCCAAGGCCAGTTCCTGATTGGTTTCTTCTTGTTCACAACCACTTAAACTTAAACCCTGTAAAAAAAATTATTAGAGAATTAAGAGGAACGAGGTGCAAATTCGGTTTATTAATAAGAACATGTTTTTCTTCATTAATATCTTTCTAAACTTTCTTTGGAGCGATTAGGAAATTTGAGTATTTCGTTGTACGCAGAGGCGTAGTTTGTCATTCATGCAAGTACCAGTTACAATTTAGTTGAGACAGTTTGCTACTTGAATGATCAATTTTATTTTATTAGCTCTAAAATTAAACTTATTTTGTAGTCTTACATTTAGTCCAGGGAACCAAGGTTTTCCCATCCGAATTCTTTCGGATAGAACCGATGGACGTGAAACTTGGACTGTAAGTAGAAAATAGCTCAAGAAATAAAAGTTATATAGTGCCGATGAACGCTTTTGCCCAGGGGGTGGAAGCAACCCCTTCTAGGGGGTGAAAAATAAAATATTGAAAATAATCGATAGGAATCGATAAAGCAATCAATTTTAAGCAAAAAGTATCTTATGAACATTTTTCGAAAAGTCAATATATTCTGAGTTATTGGTGATCGAAAATGTACATTTTATATTAAAAAAGACGTTTTTCAATAGTTTTTCTCAAATAACTCGCAAAATAGACATTCTGTGAAAAAAAAAACATCACGAAGAAAATAAAGCTTATAGAAAAAGAAAAAGATTGAGTTTTTTTCATTTGTGTAGGTGCAATAGGTGCCGAGATACGGCTGGTTGAAGATAATTACACGTCCCCCAGAAACTAAATTGGAAGCATTTAAGGTAAAATCGACGCTTTAGTACGAAAACATGTTATCTCAGATTTCGGTTGGAAAACATGCTATCTCAAATTAAGCTTGGAGAACATGCTAACTCAGATCTTTAAGTAAAAACATGCTATCTCAGTGTGATTAGAAATTTAAGTTGGCACATTGAATGAATGAAACCGTTCATCATTCATAATAAACTTATATAATAGGTATATCAAAAAGCAAGGATGTTTATGTTCAGGTACACTGTTTATTTTATTTTTTTATTCAACATTCATTCATTTTTCAATTAATTTTGTTAAGTTACTGTTATAAACGACAAAATTGTTAATTAAAAAAAATAGAATATGCAGTATGCTGCAACACGTACATTACTCGACGTTTTTTGAAATAACAAATTATAAAAAAAATAGTGTATACCTTAATCGTTAATATATAAAAATGTTTGTTATTACTAAAAATTATTCGATTTTTTTCATACAAGCTTTGATATAAAAATTAATAGCGCACTCTTACCTGATTTATAGTCACTACTNTACATTTAGTCCAGGGAACCAAGGTTTTCCCATCCGAATTCTTTCGGATAGAATCGATGGACGTGAAACTTGGACTGTAAGTAGAAAGTAGCTCAAGAAATAAAAGTTATATAGTGCCGATGAACGCTTTTGCCCAGGGGGTGGAAGCCACCCCTTCTAGGGGGTGAAAAATAAAATATTGAAAATAACCCCAGGAATCGATAAAGCAATCAATTTTAAGCAAAAAGTATCTTATGAACATTTTTCGAAAAGTCAATATATTCTGAGTTATTGGTGATTGAAAATGTACATTTTTTATTAAAAAAGACGTTTTTCAATAGTTTTTCTCAAATAACTCGCAAAATAGACATTCTGTGAAAAAAAAAAACATCACGAAGAAAATGAAGCTTATAGAAAAAAAAAGATTGAGTTTTTTTCATTTGTGTAGGTGCAATAGGTGTCGAGATACGGCTGGTTGAAGATAATTTCACGTCCCCCAGAAACTAAATTGGAAGCATTTAAGGTAAAATCGACGCTTTAGTACGAAAACATGTTATCTCAGATTTCGGTTGGAAAACATGCCATCTCAAATATCAGTTGGAAAACATGCTATCTCAAATTAAGCTTGGAGAACATGCTAACTCAGATCTTTAAGTAAAAACATGCTATCTCAGTGTGACTAGAAATTTAAGTTGGCACATTGAATGAATGAAACCGTTCATTTATAATAAACTTATATAATAGGTATATTTTTCAAAAAGCAAGGATGTTTATGTTCAGGTACACTGTTTACTTTATTTTTTTTATTCAACATTTTTCAATTAATTTTGTTAAGTTACTGTTATAAACGACAAAATTGTTAATTAAAAAAAAAAGAATATGCAGTATGCTGCAACACGTACATTACTCGACGTTTTTTGAAATAACAAATTATAAAAAAAATTGTGTATACCTTAATCGTTAATATATAAAAATGTTTGTTATTACTAAAAATTATTCGATTTTTTTCATACAAGCTTTGATATAAAAATTAATAGCGCACTCTTACCTGATTTATAGTCACTATTCTTACTTTTGTTAATAAAGTTAACATAATAACCAGAATATAAATATAATGTATAAACATTCCTTATTTTTAAAAAAATATGTTATGTAAGTTTATTATAAATGCACGGTCTCAATCATTCAATGTGTCAACTTAAATTTCCTGTCACACTGAGATAGCATGTTTTTACCTAAAGATCTGAGTTAGCATGTTTTCCAAGCTTAATTTGAGATAGCATGTTTTCCAACTGAAATTTGAGATAGCATGTTTTCCAACCGAAATCTGAGATAGCATTTTTCGTACTAAAGCGAAAAAATCTATTTTTCAAGAAAATTGCACAGAACATTTTTTAAAGTGTTTTAATGAACTTGAATTTAAGTCATTAGCATAAAAATTAACACAGTTATGGTCAAAATAAAACTGTTACTTCGCTTTTTCGGAAAAAAAAATCTAAATAATTTTTCACGAGATTTAAAATTAAAGGTAATCCTTCCACAATTTACATTTTTTATGTGCTAACATATATTATACAAGTTTAAGCCGTTTAGAATGTATATTTTTGAAAATATTACGTGTTCATTGAAAAAAAAATTAATAAAAAAAAATAATATTAAAATAACTTTAAAAATAAAAAAGATACGAAAAATATTCAAGAGTACAAAAGTTTAGATTTTTTTCACAGAATCTTTTTGTATTTTTTTGTATTTGTATATGATAAAAATAAACAGATATGTCACTGCTAGAAGTTTGCTGTTGAGGGCGAAGGTCATGTTTTTCAAACCCATTAACCTCAAAAATCTCAAAAATAACGCGTTAAAATTTTACAGTACTTTTAGCTGTCGATATTTTTCGTAAAATCGTTTTTGGATCGTCTTAATAGTTTTAAAATTAAGGAAGTTATCGTTAAAAAACCAACGTATTACCGCTTCAATTTTCGGAGCATATCAATATTTTGGTTATCCACAACGTTGGAGCATTTATAGGTATTCATAATAAAATAATATATTTGAAAATTTGAAATTATGACTTTCTGCATGAAAAAAATATTAAGAAATAATTATTTTGAATATTGCATAAATTAAAGTAAATCGTGAGAAAGAAAGCTATTACGAAAAAAAAATTATAATTAATTTTAAATAATTTAAAAACTATTTTTTTATATTTTGTCATCGATGGTGGTTTTTAAGGGTGAAAACAATGGGATAAATTATAGATTGTATAATAAAGAGGTAAAAGAATTTAATTTATCCTGTTTGCACTATCAAATCATTTCAAACTGTCAAAAACTATTTTTTTTTTAATATTTTATGAGGGATAGTTTTTTATGGGTTGAAATAATGTATTAAACTATTTATAATACCATAAACTATTGAAAAGATTTCTATCTATAATATAGTATACGCTATAAAAATATTTTAAGGTCAAAGAAACTATTAATTTTATATTTTTGTCATTAAGGGTGGTCTTTAAGGGTTGAAACTTGAAAAATAACGTAATTTATAAGCCACGATATAAAACAATATTTATTTTATATATTAAGATAAAATTTTAGTCTATATAACACCTATTTTTATATTTATTCAGTTTTTTAGCTTAAGGGGTGATTTTCATCCCCTAAAAATAAGAAGCGCATATCAAGTATATACAACTTTTCATCTACAGGGTGAAATAAGCTTAATTTCAAATTTTCATAAAAATCGGATCTATCCGAAAGTATTCGGAGGTTTTACCTTATTTATCTCTTCATTCCCTGGACTAATTTAAGCGTAGATGTTATCGCTTTGCGGGTAAGGAAGACCCTGTTTGAGCTTGACTCTAGTCTGGCACTGTAAGGAGACATGAGAGGTGTAGCATAAGTAAGAGATGGCAACATTCTGCTGGGATTGGTACGAGTATTTGAATGGGAGATCACACTGCAAATCTAATTTATATTCTTTGTTTCTCATTTTTAGGCATTTGCTATTTTTACTCAAATGACTCAATTCGTTAAACATTCATAACGCATTTCTTTGCGCGATAAATACCGATTTCTTTTGCAGTTTTAAATCCGCCATAATGGGTCCGCCATTTTGAATTTAATAAATTCCGAATTTAAAACCTTATACTCGTGATTAGCGACTTTGAAAAACACCAAGTTACAAGTTTTAGCCATAATCTTCGAATTTTGAATGCTTTTCCGATTTATACATCTGCCATATTGGATCTGCCGTCTTTTATTCTGGGATTTTCGGATTCAGACTTCAGATTCGTAATCAGCGACCCCAAAAATCTGCGGTAACAAAATTCAGGCAAAAATATTGAATAGAAAAATGTGTGACTTAAAGAGGTAAGTGGATCAATCCTTTAAGAGGTATTACACTTTTTTGGTATGTTGTCTATCAGCCTACATTTGTAAATTTGGTAGTACAAAATATAAGGCTATAGTTTTTCACATTGTTTGGCAATAACGTTCGTTATTTGATCTTAGGCATAGAGTTAAAACTCCATGGTAGGGGTGGGTGTGGATTTAATTTGGGTATATTTCTTTCTAATACACGAAATATCAATTTCAAATATTTTCTCAAAGTGCATTGTGCACAAATTGTTGTATTTCATTATAAAGCTTTACCGTATCCTCGCTATTTCACCCTATTTTGAGATGTTTTAGCGTCTTACTAAAAAATGACCCTATAAATCGATTTTTGGGCTACGAATACGGATTCAGCATCAAAAGATGTAGAAAATCTATGTACTCATGTCTCTGGTACAAAACTTTTTTTGTGGGGCTGTGTTATGGTCTCGTTTGTAGGTACGAATATTATTAAATATTTTGAACATGTAATCCGTTTCCAATAGTTGTCAAGCAACAAATCACAGAAAATAATATCCATACCGCAAAGTATAGTATATCTTACTTCTACTTTTTACCCTTACTTTAGAACATTCTGTACAGTATGTTATTACTCAAAACTTATACAAGATATCATTTACTATATACTTTTAAACACTGTCACAATAAAACAAGTCCAGTGTAAAATATAATGTATTTACTATGAAAACAGTCACTGCATATTTATTATTAGATATGTATACGACACAAGTAACGTAAAGAACCTTCTGAAAACATAATTTATTTTAAGATTAGATATACCTAATATTTATGTAATTTAAATCGTAATCAATTGATTATTTTTTGTGGGCATATCATGTAGATAATCCGGAATTATAAATTTTATTATTCTAATATTAACTTCAATTAAACTAGATTATTAGGTTATATGAGTAAATTGCAATTGTCGGTAATCCATAACTGATAACTTGGCACAATTTATGACACAAGTTCAACGGAATTGTTTATTAACAGTTGAAACTGCATATTGCAAATTATTTTTATGAGCGGAATAAAATAAATGAATATTATGAAGTGCAATATCACAATACTTTTTTAAGGGTAACAAAGTATTTATGAAAAATTAAAAAATGATGGAGATATGCGAATGTAGAATTTTTTACATAAGTATTAATTTGAAATGCTATATTGTTAATGTAAAATATTGTAATATAATGATTCCCTCGAACAATGTCAATGAAATGAAATATTTTTTTAATCTCAGAAAAAGATATTTCCCGTAACATGGATTCGATTCCTAGAAATATAGGACTATAAGACCTTTCACTGCCTTTACAGTTACTAAGTTTTTGTTTAGCACATCTCCCAGTGTGGTCAGGGGGCTCTGAGTAAATGGACTGATTCGGAACATAGGAAATACTGGGCGTCAAGACCAGGGCAAAGCCATGCGAAGGAACTGCCTAATAATGTTGCGGTGCTATAAGACTAGACCTAACCACAGGTTAAGAAGTTTTTGCTAAGGTTAGGCCATTAACATACTAATAAAATATTTTATTTGTTGAAGTTAGTTTTGGTATTCTTTAGGTTGATTCACTTGTATTAATAATGATTAAATTAAAATTGATATGGAAATATGGAATCAAATAGATGAGTTATTGTAAAATTAAATTATTGCAAAAACAACGGTATATGTTTGATTTTTGTGACTTTAACAGAACAGGGGCCACAATGTCATAGAAAGTAATCATAGTAATAGTTAATACTATGTTGAGATAGTTTTCTTAGTCCATTATAAACGTTTCGGTGACACTTTCACAAACATTAAAGAATAATACCTAAATCATTATATATTAATTTTAAATTTATACCAGGCCATGTAGTGGTGTATTTATTGGTATTTCAGCTGCAACTTTTGTCCGTTCTATTAATTCCGCTATTCTTTTTTGACATTCCTTCATACCCACTAAATGATGATTTGTTGCCAGTCCTGAAGCACTTGCCATTATACTCCCAGCCGAATTCATTATGACAGCGTGGGAATGGGTAGCACCCCTGAAAATAATTACAGAAATTGATGACTATTTTGTTAATAATGTATGTAATGTGGAGTGCATAAATTAGAAAAAAATTACCAAGTTTAAACCATTACTGTTTAATTACAATTTATAGAGGAGAAATATTTTTGATTTAGTGAATAGAAGTGAGATTTTTCCTACAACAGTAAATTGTCAGTAATTCAATAAAACTATAAGGAGTATTACCACATTTGGTAAACAAGAAGGGAAAGGAAATCAAGCATTAAGATCGTATTGGAAGTAGTTTAATTGAACAGTAGAAATTAGAAAAATGTTAGGAAATTGAACTGTACTGTCTTCAGATGGGTCAATATAATGCTAGCAATAAGAAATCGCAATACTGTGCATAAAAAAACATACTTTTAAATGGACCATTTTCACCATAACTAACCACTAAACAGTATGATGACGAAATGCGTTCTACTGGTATTGCTTTTTTTAGGAGCGTAGAAGGAAGTTTATAATCATTTGATAAGATTTTGACAGTTTTAAGGAAGAGGAGCAACTGGTAGTAGGTAAATAATTCTGCGTTAACACATATTTATATTATTGTCTTATTTTTAGATATTAGAAAGTACATTAACGTATCAAATAATAAAAAGTGATATCCTTTTTTACGGTAAGTTTTAGCATTATACAGGGTGGATACTTTAACCGGAATAAATTTGTTACCGGGGAGCTGAATAATTTTTCCAAAAATTCCCGAGACAAGTCAGCGTTTGAATGTATTTACCCACCTTTTTCAAGTAATATACAAAATATAGCTCTTCAAGGGGATATCGACTTATTGTCAGCTATAAAGTGATTCCGCTGACAAAAGCTTAAAAAGAAGTCATTAAGAGGAAACAATTTATGTAGATACCAAGTTAGCAGGATTTAAAAATTAGTTTACAGTTTATATGGGGCGTATCAGCAGAGAAATATAAAGATCCGGTTCGTAAAAATAAACCAAAAAAAAACAATTTTTTCCCAAAACGATTTCTAAGAGTTGTATGATGATTCAAAGATAGGATATGAGGCACATCTGATAAGCAGTTACTCAAGAATACAGTAATTTTTAATTTGGCGCAATATAGTTCACTACCTATATGTAGAACTTTAATTACACTACAGGTGTAAGAATTTAAAAAGAGGTTTGGATAAAATATTTCTAACTAAACTCCTTGTCTTTTGATATTTATCGACAACATGAACCGTTTACAAATGAAAGTCCAAAAAGAAAATAAAAATCAGTATAGGTAATTTAAATCATTTCAGGCAAGTTGGACTGAACACCTGAACCTAACTGAAATAGTTAAAAAAAGAGAATATAATAATTGGCTATTCTCTATAGTTCTCTTGTGCATGGAACGTTCTTGTCATGTTTGGAGTTTCATAAAAATTTGGATGGAAATGGTTTATCCAAATTCTCTCCAATGTTAGTTTTCTTTTATGCTACTGGTAAGATTTTGTTCACATTTTTCACGTAGGAAACTAACACACTCTAAGAGAACTATTATACGAAGTTTGCAGTTTGTTCTGGACTAATTAGTTAAAAACTGCGTTTTCCTTCTCATATCTGAAAGATTGTATTTCTCTCAGCAGTCATTTTGATGTTCCCTTTATTTTATGATAGTTTATTGCAATATCGGAGGTACATTGAACAGAAACAACCAGCTCAAATCATTTAACATTACTTTACTAGCTTGAGAGTAAACTAGATCTTACACAATTGCTCCTCCCCATAATTATTTTTGATATTTAACATTTGTTTACTAGCTTCAGGGCAAACTCATCAACTATACTTCACTTCACTTAATTTTTTTAACACTAAATTTTGTGGCTAATTTGCAAGTACTGGTACTAGGATCCTATTACAGGGCGTTTGAAATTTCTGACTCCTAATTTCTCATTCTGTGAATTTGTTCCCGTCCAACATAAGCGTATTGGCGTTCAAATTTACCATAATCTCTTAAATATTGAACCAATCTCGCAAACATATTCTTATTCGATACTTATAAGTCGGTGTAATCTATTTGATATCATCTTCTTTGCTCCTGACAAAAAGTAGGATCCAACCATAATTCTTTCTTAATTCGTAGATATACATATTTTTCATAACGTACAAAAACTTGAAATTAAAACACAAAATTACACTATCGTCACTGTACACTGAAATAAATAACTTAGATAAGATTATACACTTACACCACACAAAGGTACTTTATGAACACTCCGAACTATCCCGAACCGACAAAGTCGAAGACTAAATAAAAATGTAGCCAAATGAAACAGTGCAGTATTCGGCCATTTGTTTACTGTTCGATGTCGACATTAGCATAAAAATAATATGGTGACTTAAAAACACGTCGTTGAAAAATTAAATCAATTAGTAAAGTATATCTGTACCAGTATTAGTTAATGTTTGATTAATCATGTTAAAATTTTAATTTTTTTTTAGAAACGATATGTTTCTTTAATGTTCAGCGTTTCGATCAGTGATATCAAAAAAATATGTTGACTTTAAAGTAACACGTAGCTAAGTTATATAAATATAAATTACTTACTAATTTCACCAAATTATTTTTCATTGTCATTTCCCATAATGTATATTGATTTAAAAACAATTGGCAACGTTGATAGTGCGCTAATACGCAAATTACACAAGAATTAAAGTGTATTTTAAAAAACTAATTATAACTCGACTATTTAATTGACTAAAAAAATAATTTCATATTCGTATTCAGGGGAACAGTAGGTACGTGTTACCCCTAAAAAACTGACCCCTACTTAAAGTTATACCCTGTATAAACAAATCATTCTGTTTATAAATTCATGAAATTTGTGAAAAAGGGCTTTTAAGTGAAATCGATTAAGGTTACGTATTATACTTTAAAAAAGTCTCTAAGATTAAGGTTACCTATTATACTTTAAAAACGTCTGTAGTGATTTTTTCTAAAATCGGTTAAAAAATTTGCAGTAGGCCATGAATTGCCGCCAACTGGATCATTGTATTGATTTAGCAGGTACCTATACCTGCGAGTTAACTGCACATCTTTATGTACAATGATTTCCAAATAGGCATGCATCAGCACTTGTAAACAGAGACAGAGTTATCGATTCCAGAAAAGTTTTCATCATATTGTATCGTATCACGTGGTAAAAAATATATTCTGTTTGAAAAAAATATATATTTTTGTCAATTGAGTTCACAAATTTCGATTTTTTATTCTACAAGTATCCTATCCAAATTTTTAAACATCCTATATAAGAGTGCCATGCGCGCACTAATTGTGAGTATACATTTTTACTGTAGGATTTTCTCAGTTTATTTCTTTAAGGAAAATGTTTAATAATACAAAAAAGGATAAAACATGTTGAAAAATATACCCTAAGCTTATGGTTTTTATGCTCTCATAACTATAAGAGATAAACCCATTAAAGCTTATATTACTGTAATCCTGATAAAGTGTTCCAACAGAACATTACATAGGGTGTCTCATTTAAACATTCTTATGTTTGGGCTATATTTTTCAATGAGATGAATAATATTTTTAATATCTACATAATTTTTTTTAGAATAGTAGTTAATAAGTTAATAACCGAGAAATCCCTACAGTTAAAACACAATAGATGGCGCTGGATATATACATTTATTTAAGTATTTGTACAAGTCACAACTATAAAATAGCATTATTATTTGTACAGATAACAAACGAGCAACACATCAAAAAATAAATAAGTCTTCTGGAAGGTGTTCAAAGAGAAAAACATATTTTCAATTTGAAATGACAAATGACATGTTTTTATTAAAAAATATATTAGCAAAATTTGAAAAACGACGAATGAACTTAAAATTGGTACCTCTCAATATATGGATATTTAAAAATAGACAAATAATGTAGTCAATACTTTTAGGCAGTCACCAGTAAAATATGCAGATTTCCGCCATAAAAGTAGAATCATTTGCTAAAATATGTTAATAAAAATATAAAGAATCGGATTTTTATCTTGTGGTATTGTTAATAATTTTTAATACACAGATAGGATGTGGGTAAGCTCGTTTATATTTTAAGATCTGATAAAGTAGATATGTGACGCATAAAATGATGATTGAACTAAATCTGTTTGAATATCTACAATTAGGTAGGATTAAAAAAACCCAAGTGTTTAATTCATCGATCAAAGCATATCATGACTGTCTTGTTGTAAATAAAATATGTATATTCATTAAATGCGAAACCAGAATAATTACAGACAATAGAAGTCAATTGAAATTTATTACAATTATTCGTCATTCTAAAATTCATTACGACAAAGAAATATTTTTGTATAACCGTTACTTAAAGTACCACATTTATTTAAAGTTCCCAATAGAGACTATAGTAGGTAATTTATTTTCATATTTTATTATACCAAAACCTGTAATAGTGAAACGACGTATCAATATTTTTATCTTTTGTGCATGAGATGATGACGTATTATCCAGTACAGTCGTGCAGTTTATCAGTAATAACTAATAAGTATTAAAAATAAGTGTGTTAGTGTTAGTTTCATAAAACGTATCCCTGGGCTATATTTATATTTATACAAGTTAAAATTTACATTAGAAGTAAAAATATAGTTACATAGATTTAATTTAAATAAAGTCAACAACTGCATTATTTGTTTTTTATTGCAACAATTACATTTACTTTAACCTTTCTCTTAACAAAAAACTTTCTAATTCTCGGACTATGACACTTTCAAATTCATGCCACAAATATTTTATAATATCGGACTCCGTATATCCTCCCCGATAAGGGTTATTATTATTTTTTTTGTTAATTGTGTTTGCAAACTATGTAGGAGGTAGGTAAACATTTTTTGATCAAAAAATTCCAAGGTTAATTAAATATATGTAAATTTGCTTCATTGTTAAATAGTAGTAGATACTGTTAAATAATTGGAAATAATAATTAGAAATAATAATGAGGAACTGAATTAACTACTTATATT